GATCAGTCTTAGATAACATAGACTTAGGACGCATGCTTCTTATAGGATAGAGACATCAAAACTTAACCTTAGTGACACATTTTCCTACGTTTAGTGTTCCTTAATCCACTAATAATCAACCAATGAAAATTAACCTTAATTCAACGCTTAACAAATACACTAAAACACTTAATTTGTACTCAAACCATAATTAATATTTCATAATCTCTAAAATACAAAACTTAAATTAGATCCAACAAATCTAATAATCGACTCATAACAAACCTAAAATTTAAAACATACAGATTGAGTTAGGAAAACAAACCTAAACTAAGATTCATTAAGTTAAAAAATCATGTGATTTAATTTTAACCATCAATAACAACAACCAAAGCTTTAAATTTTCAAGTAATATAAGCAATATGAACAAATTTCATTTCATCAAAACATAAATACAATAATCCAAGCAACTTCCAAAATGTTTGTACATCAGAATAAATAAAACTCGATTACAAAAATAATACCTCAAACTCGGACAATGAGATCCTACTTCAACACTTTCTACTATTCTAGGCCTTGACTCTTTCCTATAATGTTAGAAAGAACACAATGAGTGCAACTAGTTCAGTAGGCTTCCTCCTTTATCCATCATAGATGTTACTACCCAATTCAAAATATTAAATACAAATTTAAAGAAAATCCAATACTTTAAATGAAATCAATGAAATATTAACATGGCATATTTTGTAGAGTTCATTACACGCTTGTGTTTAGAATCCTTACTTATACTTGTGTTACTATTTTTAAAGAGGTTTTCAATACTTCAGAGAGCCCATATTATCAGAAGATCACCTGCTTTTCACTGGCACTTAACTTGTCCATTTCATCAAAGCTATACATAGACTCAAAAATTTCTAATATTCAATTCAGAACCTCATTTATGCTTAATTTATTAAAATATTTACATATACAATGCAATGAATACAATGCACATGTCACATTGTCTAGCTATTTATAACTCAACTTTTACTTATGTCTCTCTTTAACCTCCCACACTCACTTTCAATAAGTGGGGTAAGAATCCCTCTCACATCCACTCTTGACAGATGTGACCAAAACAGAACATATATGGCCCTTGAAATATATAAGATATTAAACTTTTTCACATACAAGAACATCTTCAATGTTATTTTATGTATAATACAAATACAATGCAATTGTGGTTAAATTAGAAATCTAATGCAATAATCAGACAATGCATGAATTGACAGTAAAAAAGTCACATTACGTGTAAAACATAATACACATTGAACTTTGCTTTTTTAATTTCAACTTTAGAACAACATTCACATGAATATTTTAAAACTTCTATATAACTATTGCATTTGCCGGTAAAGCCTAAATTCAATAATATACTAAAAAAAATCATTTAAAAAAAAACTAATCGATAAAACTTCAATATCATATAACTAAAATGCTCATAATAAGAAACACAATAATATATTAAAAACTACGTGATGAAAACTTTCTGAAACCCAAGAGAAACATATTTTAAGTTTATTTATTTATTTCATTTTGACCAATTATATAAGAAGATTAGAAATAGCTCCTATTGGGGATGATACACTCAAATTAGTAGCAACTGTGTAGTTTGGAGAATTCTAAATGTATCTATGTTGAAATTGTGGTAATCTTTTAACAAATTTAGATTAAGGCTTCATTTGCGATAGCTTTTTACTACTTTGCTTTTTAGACTGTTATTGTTCCAAACAAATCACAAGTCTTTGTTTGAGACAGCTTTCTTACTATTTTACATTTCAAACAATAACCATAAATTCTATTTCTTCATTGCTTCCACACTTCTTTTAAAAAAATTTATTGTACTAGGAAGCTGCTTTCTGCAACACTTTTAAAAAAATTGTATTCTCTATACTAATTTTAAAAACAATAAGATAGCCGTCCTAAACAAAACATAAGATTGATCCAAACTAGCAGTTGTTTCTATTTTTTTTTTTTGGACATTTAGGCCATTTAAGGCAAATTCACACACACAACGCATACACAAAGACTCGAACCCAAGACCTCTTAGTTGGAAGCATAAGCTCTCAACCAACATGTCAAGATGAGCTATGTAGTTGTTTCTAATTTCAGTAACTTATTCCCAATAGGATGAAATCTGCATTAGAAAACTTCTAATTTAATTGGAATTAAGTTACCATTTATATTTCCTAATGAATAATATATATATATATATATTCATTACTAAATTTAATTGTTAACTTAATTCCAATTAAATTAGAAGATTTCTAATTAGGATTGCATCCTATTGGGAATAAGATACTCAAATTAGAAACAATTGTTAGTTTGGATCATTCTTAATATAAGATATGTTGAAAGATTAGCACAATTTCAACATAGCTGAATTAAGAAATATCCAGACTATACAGTTGCTTCTAATGTGAGTATATTATCCCCACAGCTAATCCGAATCTTCTCATTTAAACGACCAAATAGAAATACATGAATAAAGTTAAACCGGACCTGTTATTTTTTCAGGTTTAGGGCATCTACAACCAAACATCATTTACCTGTTTGTAATTCCTGCCATATTTCACCCGAACGACAAATCAAAATATATTTTTGCTTTTTAACTCGTTTGTAAACAGTGCGACGTCAATACTGACACCATACTATTAACAAAAACCTTTTTTTTTTAGAAATGTAGTTTTTTATTGGAGATGAGAAAGAATATACAAAGAATTTTTTTTTTAATGTTAAAAATGGAGTTTGATTATATTAGTAGATAAATACATATGTTATAAATAATAGATGTGCTGTCATATAACCATTTGTTACATTGTCTAATGGTTATATGCCAGCACATCTATTATTTATTACATATGTATTTATCTACTAATAGATTAGAGATAAATTATTATTTTGAGGTTTGCCATCAAAGATGACAGAGTGAGGCCTAAGAATCGAAAAGAGAACCACTTGGTTGCAAAAGCGAAACTTTTTTTTTTCGAGATATTTAGGCCAATTAAGGCTTTGTTTGTGACGATTTTCTTACTGCTTCGAAAAGTAGCTTTTTAGTACAAACATTTTAATTTTTGTACTAGAAAGCAGATTTAAAAAGCAATTAAAAAACCGTCCCAAACTGACCCTAAGGCAAACACATACACACACATCACATACACAAAAGCTCGTACCTAAGACCTCTTAGTTGGCAGTCTAAGCTCTAACCAACACGTCAAAATGAGTTGTGTAAAAGCAGCAACTTATGATAGGGAGTTCATCATTGCCCCTGCCAACCTAGCAAAATCTATACCCTAAACTTAAGAAAAGGCAACGCAAATCGGACAATCAATCGAAATATATAAACAAACATAGCAAACATCATCAACTAACTTGATGTATCACAACAAAAGGCATCAGAAAAAAGATGAGCATATTAAGCTTTTGTTTGGGACGGCTTTGTTATTGCTTTGCAAAGTTACTTTTTAGTACAAAAATCTATTGAAAACACCTGTCCCAAATGAAGCCTAAAACTACCATCCAGCATTTCCTAAATGATTAGCAGACAGCTAAATTTTGTTTTATAATGGAATCTGGAGACTACGAAGAGAAAGCCTAAGAGTTGATAAGGTGAACTATCGACTCAGGGTTTTTTTTTTTTAAGGAATATTTAGGCTAATTAAAATAAATTTATGCATACATCACATACATAAAATTCGAATTCAAAATCTTTTAGTTGATGGTCGAAGCTCCCAAACATTAACATGCCAAGATGAGTTTTGTGACTTGGGCTTGTTAGTTAATAATCAAAGCCTACTACTTATCATCCTGAGGTAAAATAACAAACTAAATTGTCTAGCTGACGATTAAAAAATTAATTTGAATTTATAATTTGATAAAATTCCAAGATTTTAAATTCAACAATATAAAAAAAATAGTTAAAAAGGTTTACGAAATGATAAAAACTATAAATTTTTTAATCGGGCAGCAACTACTTCCCCAGTTCGGCAGTAATTTCACCGCGATCATACTTCGGATAAGCAGCCGTCTACTGTAAAATATCAAGCTCGCCTGCTTTTTCTTTTCACAGAACACTCAATTCTTTTTCATAGAAACTCATTTTGAGGTTAGAAATAGAATTTTTGGTTGGCGATAGCGGTCTAATCAAGTTAAGCCGACTTGCGAGTCGATTCGGACTAGACTCGTTAACAGGCTCGATGAGTTGAGCTTATTGTGCATGTTAGTCGAGCTCAAACACAATTTCATGCTCGATGGCTTATCGAGCTCGAGCTCGAACAAACCTTCTCTCAACTCGTGATCTCGTTGAGCAGCTCGAGGAGGTGACCTTTCGGAGGGAAAACAAAATCTTGGGACGATGCGGGTGGGAAAACGAATCGAAGCCCGTGTATGAAAATGAAATCTCAACGACGGGGCTCGGGATGACAGTGGATGCGACGACGGAGCTCGCGTGATGCTTGCTTGCTCGACGATGGAACTTGGGACGATCGAGCTCGCGTGCTGCTAGACTGCATTGGACTTAGCTTGACAACGGACTCGGGGTAGAGCTCGATGAGCAACTCAATGTTAGATGAGTCGAGCTCAAGCTAGTCTTTTGAGCTCGAGCTAGTCTTTTGAGCTCCACTCAAATTTGAGCTCGATATTTAACAATCGAACTTGACTCAAACACCCCTTACTTGAGCTAGACCAACTCTTTTTGCACCCCTAGTTGAAGATGTCCTTAAATTAGGGATTTCAATGATATGAACGCATGAATGCTTGATCATCGCTAATAATACAATTCTGACAGCCCAGCACTAATTAATTCGATCATTTATGAAGTTAAAGTCCGGTACGTCACCTATGGGTCCCACATCAATAACTGCTAACTCATCAAGCTCGTAATGACTTCTATGCCCTTCGGTATTAATCCCACTCGCATTATTCGGCAACGCCTAAAGACTAGAGGCCTCAACTTCAATAATTTCATATCCACGTGTCAACAATTAAAGTCATACAAAGCGTCTCCAAAATAAATAAACGCAAAGTTGTGGACGTAATTAAAAAAATATTCCATGTACAAATTGGCCTTCTCTGTCAAGGGCTGCTGAAGCGGGTGGCCTACGACCGCTAAAATTTTGTATTATTCTATTCTAATAATTGACATTAAATAAATAAATAAAAGAGGGAAATAAAGAAAAATTACAGAACGCAAGCGTGCTTAAACCCGGTTCAATGCGGCGGTCGACGACTCCGAATCATCAGGATTCTTCTTGGAAAAACCGGCGGCGGCGGCGAACTTCCCCCTCATCGATCCTTCCTTCACCGACCCTTCCTTCACCGACCCTTCGTCCCCTCTCTTCCAGTTCCCCCACGCCGGAATCTTCGCCGATAGCGACCGCACCAAGAAAGAAGGCCAGCGATCCGACCGCCCAAGGCGCGCAGTCCTCCCGCGGCGGCTGCTATCATCCCCGATTACCCTCGAACCCGGTCTCCTCGAGCTACCCTCGCCTCCTCGAGTTACCGCTAAGCTCCTCTGCCGTTGCAGCATCCCGGCTGCTATTATATCCTTCCGAACGTTCTCCGGCAGCCGCAGCGTGTACCGATCCAAACCCTCCCCCTGCTGCGTTATCGAGTGCCCTGTTGAGTGCGATCGCAGAAGAGTCCTCTGCCTCCTCGAACCGTTCCTCCTCACCCTGCTCGCGATCCGCGCGAGCTCCTTTATCTCTTGTTTCCTTACACCTTCATCTACAGTGATTACCACCTGATCCGCCGGCGTCGGATCCGGTGCCGGGGCGGATTCCGCCGCTGCCTGCACAGCCGGGGCATCGGTGGCCCCTTCGATGGAAGTTTCATCGGTGGAGACGGCGGTGTAATCAGTGCGGCAAACAGGGCAGGTGACGTGAGAGGCGAGCCAGGCGTCGATGCACTCCTGATGGAAAACGTGGTCGCATTTGGGGAGAAGACGGATTGTATCTTCGTCCTCGAATTCGTTGAGGCAGATGGCGCACTCAAGCGCGCCCTTGCCGATCTTGTGCTCCTTCACCTCGGAGTATACGAGGGTGGGGAAAGTTTCGAGAACCGCTGGATCTAGCCCGCGCTGCCTCCTGGAACGGGCGCCGATGGCTGCAGCAGCGGATGCGGCGAGGGAATCCATCCGGTCGCCGCCGCACTGGCGGATGTAGATGGAGAAGAAGCCGAGGAAGAAGAAGGCGCTGATGAGGACGACGATGATGACGGCCATGGATGGATTGAACTTCGCGGATGTGAAGTAATTCGGATTGATGCTGTTGTCTCCATTCGGCGGCGATTGGGCTTGGACGCCGGCGGCGGCGAAGAGACAGAGCATGATCACTGAAACGCCGAAGGCGGCATGAAGGCCGGCGATTGGACGGAGATGGAGCTTCGTGGCCATGGTGGAGAGCTTAATTGCTCTTGCGATATAGCAAACGGAGAAGTTGAGAGATGCAAACAAGGCAAAGGGAAGCTGAGAGATATAAGTCGTAGTGGCTAAGCTGGTTCAGCTCACCGCCCCGTGGGAATAGGCACGTGCGAGTCGCGGTGAGATGGGACTGTTTTTTCTTGTCTAATGGAAATATCGAGCCGTTTGACTGCGGCCAGCGATGTGGAGTGATGAACACGACCAGTTCTAGAAGCAGTGACTTGACCTGTAGGTGACTGTAACGCGAAAGAGAAGCCGGCTGAGCGACGGCGGCTGCTTTACTGACTCAGCCTTCGGCAGCCGGCAGGTGAGCTTGATATTTTACAATAGACGGCAGCTTATCCTAAGCATGTTCGCGGTGAAATTACTGCCGAATTGGGGAAGGTATTTGCTGCTCGATATTTTTTTTTTTTTTTTTGAGACGGGTAAATATTGTTCATAGGTAAAATTTCGGTCGACCTAGCGGTCAACTCACATCAATTTATTCGAGCCGACGGTTAAGGCTTACACTGTCGTCCAGGAGATTTGAACCAGGCACTTGAGTTTTGCCCATCCGGTTCTCCACCCCACAGACTAAGCAGCGGTGGGTCGATAAAAAATGTTTGTAGAAGCATTACGAGCTTGATGAGTCAGCAGTTGTTAATGTGGGACCCAAACGCGACCTACCGGACTTTAACTTTATAAATGATCGAATTAATGCTGGGATGATACAATTGGGCTCCATTTTGTATTATTAGCGACGATCATGCTTTCCATATCATTGATAAACCTAACTTAAGATCAAAGCTTTTAAAATCGGACCAGTTAATAGACTGAAGGAATGTGAGGTTAGGAATTCTATGGTGTGATCCGGATCAAATTGGGGTCAAATCGGATAATGTAATAAATATTTATTATATTTTAATATTATAATAGTGACACAATTATTTATAAATATATAAATAGCAAGGCTTATAAAGATATTCAAGCTATTAAAAAGCAAGATCAAAACTATATTTATATCCTAGAAAAAAAATGAGTATAAAACAAATATCACAGATAGATTCATTATACTTATCTCGTATGGCTGGGCTGTCTCACGAGGAACATTACACCAGAGCAATTTGACATTTCTAATTGAAGAATTCAAGGTTAATACAACTGTAAAACAATTCATTAATAAAAAATATGATAAAAGGCTCTTACTAAGGGCTGAAGACAAAAGGCATTGGACAGGAGATCATTTAGAAGTAGAAGAGAAATGAAATTGAATTAATTTTCTCGATGCTTTACAAGACTGGACAAGACCATATATAGACTACAGAAGTTATGACCGTACATTCAAGACCGTTAACACACTCACGACTTGGACCAAAGATAATGACCTGCTGTTACATATACACTTATGCTAACATGCCCCCTCAAACTAAACATCCTGAGAGCGGATGTTGAGTTTGCGGCGTAGAAAAAGAAAACGGTCTTTAGGTAGAGATTTTGTGAGAATGTCGGCGGGTTGCTCGGCAAAGCTAATGTGTAGAATCTTGAGCGCACCGGCTTTGACGTGATCGCTGATGAAGTGATAGTCTAGCTCAATGTGTTTTGTCCGGGCATGAAAAACCGGATTGTTAGCGAGAGCTATAGCTGAAGTATTATCACAATATAGAGGAGTAGGTCCATTCTGCGATATACGAAGTTCAGCCAGAAGCCTGCGGAGCCAAATTACTTCAGACGTGGCCGAAGAGATAGCCCGATACTCAGCTTCGGTTGAAGATTTTGCTACCGTCACTTGTTTTTTTGCTGACCACGAAATGATCGTGTTACCCAAAAAGGTGCAGAACCCGGTGATAGACCGCCTATCTGAGTGATCGGCAGCCCAATCGGCATCGGCGAAGGCTCTGAGCTGAAGATCGCCGCGATCTATAGGAATGCTGAGAGCTATGGTTCCTTGTATGTACCTCAACAGCCGTTTGAGGGTTTGAAAATCGTCAACGGATGGATCATGCATGTGTTGACATATGTAATTAGTAGTGAAAGCTATATCGGGATGGGTAATGGAGAGGTATTGAAGCGAACCTGCAAGTTTCCGATATAGCTTGGGGTTGGAGAAACGTGTCTTGTTGGTGATCGCGGTTGAGTGTTTGAGCGACATGGGGGTGAGATCTGCTTTGCTGTTGGTGAAGCCTGCTGTGTGAAGAAGTTGTTTTGCATAATGTTTTTGATGCAAGAAATATCCCGTAGATGTTTAGTCTACCTGTATACCTAAAAAAAGTGATATATCACCAAGTTGTTTGAGTTTAAAACTGGAATGCAATTGTTTTAAGAGAAGAGCGATTGTGGACTTATCATTGCCAGTGACCAAGATGTCGTCAACGTAGATCAATACGAACACATATGTCCGATCTTTCGTGTAACTGAGAAGGGAGGGGTCGGCTTTGCTGAAAATGAAGCCGAAGGTACGTAAGGAACTAGTGATTTTACTGAACCATTGTCTAGGTGACTGTTTGAGACCATAAATTGATTTATGAAGCTTGCACATGAAGTCCGGATGTGTAGTATCCTTGAATCCTGGAGGTTGTTTCATATAGACATCTTCTTGAAGGTCGCCGTGCAAAAAAGCGTTTGAGACGTCTAGTTGGAGAATGGACCAGTTGTTGTGGAGGGCTAACGTGATCAAGACTCGAATCGTAGTCATCTTGGCGACATGACTAAACGTGTCGGTGTAGTTGATACCGAGTTCTTGGGAGCATCCGAGAGCAACAAGACGGGCTTTGTATTGAGATACTTTGCCGGAGGAGTCCCGTTTGATTTTGAATGTCCATTTGCACCCTATGATCGGCTGGTTGTGAGGAGGGGGAACTAACGACCAAGTAGTCTAGTTTATAAGTGCCTCATACTCGATAGTCATCGCCAATCGCCAATGTGCATGATTAATCGCCTGAGTGAAAGAAGTTGGAGTGTCCTCCATAGTTGTAGTAGCCGAAAGATCCAGAATCTGTCGTGGTTTGGTGATGCCAGACATGAGCCGTGTGTGCATGTGATGAGTTCTGACCGGAGGAATAGGCAGTGGAGACACATTGGCTGGGCTGTGCTGCATGGATGAGGTTGGAGATTGAGATTGCAGTATTGGGTTAGGGAATGTCTGAGGGACGGATAGGTGATTGAGGAGAGAGGATGGTGTCACGACCCGACAGGGACGGATCCCGCCCGAGCCGGACCGCGACAAAACCTTTTTATCCAGGATCTGGCTTTGGAATTTGTTTCTGAACTGAATCTTCTAAATTACTCAACTCAACAGACACACAACCACAGAGCCACTATGAATCACCAAATGCAGCGGAACAAAACATCTATATTTTCATTTTCCTCAAAACAATCATCTACAAATACAGTACACACATTCTGGAGCAAAATTACAACTGATCGTCCCAGGACGATCCAGATCGTCCTGGACAATCCTGGAGCAGATTTTTGATATTACAGATGGTATAGTGGATGCAAGAGTGAGAAGAAGAGATGATTGATTCGAGGAGGGAGGAGATAGCATGGTGTTTTGATTCGTGGTTTTAAACGGAAAAATATCCTCTTGAAATGTGACATGCCGAGAAAATGTATACTTTGTTGGATTGAATGTCGAGACAGCGATAAGCTTTGTGCATTGTGGAATAGTCGAGGAAGACGCATTCACGAGAGCGGGAAGCCAGCTTGCTTGAGGTGTATGGCTTGATCCAGGGGAAGCAGAGACACACAAATGTACGAAGATGTAAGTAGGAAGGATGTTGTCCGTGAAGAAGATAGTGAGAGCTATGAGGATGAGTGGCTTTGCTTGGTATGAGATTGATCAGACAGTGTGCTGTTATCAGAGATTCAGCCCAGAATTTTTGAGGTAAACTGGCGGCATGCAGCAGAGTTCTCGTGATGTCAAGAAGATGTCTATGTTTCCTTTCAGCCATGCCGTTTTGCTCCGGAGTGTGAGGACTACTAAGCTGACGAGTAATCCCATGATCCTGAAGGTAGTTGGTGAATTGATTGCTGATGAACTCACCGCCGCCATCGGAGCGAAAATATTGAATAGTGGTATTAAATTTGTTGTGAATTAAATTGCATAATATTTTAAATTTTGAAAAGGTCTCAGATTTTGCTGTCATCAGATAAAGCGAATATCGCGTAAAATCATCAATGAAGATCACATAATAGCTAAAACCATTTATAGACTGACATGGGGACGGCCCCCAGACATCGGCATGAATAAGCTGAAAAGGTTTTGTACTAATAGAAATGCTATTAGTAAACGGAAGTTTATGACATTTTGACAATTTGCAAGAAATACAAATATCTACAGATTTAGGAAAATTGCGTAAATCAGGAATAAAATTCGATAAAGATGAGATAATCTGTGAGTTTGGGTGCCCCAAACGGGCATGCCACAGCCGAGTGTTGCTGTTCCGAACGTGAAGGGCGGGATGAATAGAGGCGGAGGAGGAGCTGATTTGGTATAAGCCGTTACGTTTGTGACCACGAAGGAGTTGCCGGTTGTCCTGACAATCCTTAATTACGAAACCATTAGCATCAAAAACAATTGAAATGTTGTTGTATGTGGTTAGTTTAGAGATTGAAACTAGATTATGAGATATGGAAGGAACGTGTAAAATGTTTTGGAGACGAAGCTTACGAGCGGTCTCCGGGAGAGGAAGTAAGCCGTTACCAGTGTGCTGAATTGGAACAGTATTACCATTAGCCACCGAGACGGATTCAAGTCCATTATAGGAGGACGCAGTGCTCAGGTTGGAAAGATCTTGAGTCATGTGAGAGGTGGCGCCAGAGTCAAAAATCCACTCCGTGGCATTCGGTGCGGCTTGGTGCTGCGCGTAGTGAGCTCGAGGATTCGTTAAGGAAGAAGGAGCGTACTGTAGATTGCAACGATGCCAGCAATCTATCGCGATATGCCCTGTTTTGCCGCATATTTGACAAACCGGGCGCGGAGCAGAGGATTGATTTCGCTGAGGACGAGCGTCGTTGTTGGGGTTGGGTCGTGCGCTTTGATTCTTGGATTAATATCTTGTGAAGCGACCACGATTGGGCTTGTTCCGAACAGAGAAAAGAGCAGTGTTGTCGGACGGGTTGCCGAGTTCTTGAGAATGATCTTGCTGAAGGTTTATCTCTTCACTGCAGAGAAGAGAGTAGAAATCTTCCAAAGAAATAGGTGTCAGTGAGGTCCGAATAGCTGTCTTGAAAGAGTTGTATATGGTCGGAAAACCATTCAGGGTATAGAGTATAATGTCTTCATTGTCGATCTTGGATCCCGCAGCTGCGATATTGTCTACGAGATTCTTGATTTGAGTCAAG